CGTCCAGGTTTACAACCCCTTCCGAACTAAAGTATTAACTTGGTAATCGTATAATTTAAAGCATTTCAAATAACTTTATTCATCATAAATGAAATTCCAAACATAATTGTAGTAAATACGGAGTGTTTAATGCGGAAGCGATTTTTAAACATGGTTCATAATAACATAATCATTTATTTTCTCAATAAATCCACCACGACTGTCTCGCCCCTTCCGCTGCCAAGAACATGCCATTCACTCATTCTGTCTACCTGCGTGTAGCAAATAAAACATACTACACGCTCAGCGATGAAGCTGAGTAAGCATATCTAAAGCATCGAACATCCAAATAAATTGAATCTCAATTCATAATCAACCATTTGATATCATGCACACAATATATGATTCAAACATTCATGATATTCTCAATATTTTATTCCAAGTCATTCGATATTCAATATCTCAACCATGCTCTTAAATTATTCTTAATCTAAGGCCAAATCATTTTATAACAAGCTCTTAGCTATTCCTAGTCTAAGGCAACATTTCTAACCAGACCCTTAAACTATAAATAGTTTAATGCAGAACACAAGAATCGATAATCCACCCTATAGGTCACGTGGATTACGTACCAACCGAACAATGATTTGTCGGGTGGGTGATATCCGGTCTGGATCCCGTACGTACGTTTTAACCCCGAAATATGAATTGGTCAAGGAGGCATATCTTAGAGTTCTTCTAGATATCCTTAATAATCATCATCATTATACAAGTGGGTATATCTTTAGAGTTCTTCTAGATATCCTTAACAACATTATTCATTAGTTCATATTCTTAGTTCAACAATCATTTAAAAATCCATAATATTCATCAAATGAACAATCTAATAACAATCAGCGGCCTAGCATCGAGTGTTAACACCCTAGCTTACCGTCATGCATCACATAAGATTCCTTTTAGTTGTTAAAACACCATTTTTATTCCAATAAATCATCCTTTTATTAATCATAATGGTTTGGTATCAAAATATAGGATTCCATAACTCAAAAATCATATTTTCTAAATAACAATTGATTAATATATGATAGGAACTTCAACTATTAGCAATTAGCTTCATTTTTTTCAATAGTGTAGGGTGACAGTCTACTGTCACTTCTGATAATCTACTGTCTGATGTTCAGAATGGGCTGATAATCGATTATCACACTCTGATAATCGATTATCAAACTTCAGAGAGGGCTGACAATCGATTATCACATTCTGATAATCGACTGTTGCTCAGCTTTGTTACAAAAATCTGCAGAACGATGAATAATCGATTTTCAAGTTGATAATCGATTATCCATCGTCTTCTACCTCGAGCCAACTTGCGGAAATGTCACTTTTACTCACCAAACTTCAATTAAAGTATATAAAAATGTTCTCCAAGGTTCATGGATCATTTTAGCATCATTAATTCATAATTTTAACATCAATTTCATGGTTTATGATTCTTAGTTCTTCAAGTATGTCAAACACAAAACTCAACCAAATGACCATTTATGAACGTAGAAACGACCTATATGAACATTCTAGTCATTAGATATATCTAGGGGCTTACCTCGAAGCTTAACGAAGGTTTTGGATATTTTCCGGCGAAACTTCCGGCGATGATTACTCTCAACTC